GAGTGGTCCATCTGTCAAATCCATGCCTTGTCAGTTTGAAGACCAGGATGTCATGTGGGACAGTGTCAAACACCTTGCACAAATCCAGGTAGATGATGTCAGCTGTTCTGCCACCATCTCTATAGCCTTGTTGTAGAAGGCCACGAGATTGGTCAGGCATGACTTGCCCTTAGTGAAGCCATGTTGGTTGTCACCAATCACCTCCTTATTTTCCATGTGCCTTAGCTGGTTTTCCAGGAGGATCTGTTCCATGATATTGCTGGGCACAGAGGTGAGACTGACTGGCCTGTAGTTCCCTGGGTCTTCCTTTTCTCCCTTTTTGAAAAGAGGGGCTATGTTCCCTTTTTTCCAATCAGCGGGAACCTCATCAGACCACCACAACCTCTCAAATGTGATGGATGCCATCATATGTCAGGTCTGTGTCTTTTATACTACAGCTATCTGGAGGGAGAGAGAGCCCTCTGGAAGAGTCATGGAGGCAGCAGTGCCATGTGAGGGCACTGCCCTCCCTGATCGCTGAGCTATCAAAGGCAAAGTCAGTAGGAACCATGCTGCCCATAACACTTGACAGCTCCAAGGTGCATATGCCCACCTCCAGCTACTCCCATATATTGACTGAACCTCTGAACTTCTCCACTGCCACCCCAAGACAGGCATTCTCATTTAGCAGTTCCTGTGGGACATCTGCCCCTACATTCTCCCTTACTTCTGCAAGAAGTGGTTTTAGTAGTGGGAAAATACAATTCCCTGTGTGTTGCTCAGACCCAAGAGTGCATGCAAACACATGCAAATTATAACACCCACAAATTATAACACCCACCTTCTTTCCCTCTCCCCATGGAGAATGTTCTTCTCTATATCTGTTTATCACATAATCTGCCCATGTGTGACACTCAGGATATATGGTACTTGTCTCACACAACCCAAGAGATAAACAGCACTTCAGAAACTCAGGGTGTCTAGTGTTTGTATTGGGACATCCAAGAAATAAAGCAGGGTTTATGGGCTGAAGAAAGAGAGGTCTTGGCAACCCACCAAACTGGCTTTACTTAGCTGAAAACGGCAAGCTCTCCCTCCCCCCACTGATGTGCCAGCAGCATGGGAAATACCACAGGCAACTGCTAACTGGGGAGCTTTTGAAATGATCTGTCATCTTTGGTAAAAGATGGAATTTATGCCAATTTGGGACAGAAGCTACAAACAGGGAACGGTGATGGGGATGACCGCCGTGTATTATCCAAGGAATTAACTGCATAAAAGAGAAGAGTCTTAAAATGCCTCCTAGGACCAGACCTCCCAGGCTCTACTGTGACAGGATGCCTCTGCAATTCTGGGTGGTGACTTTTAACTCTGTTTCCTTTCTCTTTTTTCTCTTTTGTAGTTTAGGGTGAGTCATTGTATTGATTACAAGCTTATGACAAATACATAGTCGTAACTCTTACCAGCTGATCTGTACCCAAATAGAAGCCTGTTTGTGCACCCAATATTGTATTATCTCCATTTTGCCCTGGCAGGATCACAGAGAATCACCACGTATCTGATTATTGGATTGTGACACCATGCCCCCTAAAAAGCCCCAAAGATACCTATCTATAGAGGAGTTTTGGTACTGAATAGAACAATAAACCCTTATCTCCTTCAAGGTCATCAAAGCATACCAAAAAGTCCTTAGCCAGTTATAACACAGATCAGTATTGCCAGATGAATGCAATATATATTCTGTCCAGGAGATGGAAGTATGCACATCTAAAAGATTTGTATTACAGCAAGAGTGATAATCAAAATCAAATTATAATCTAATACTCTAGAAGTAGAATATGCAAAAATAGTTTTCCTAGTTCAGTTGCAAGAAAACAAAGCTGTGCTAAGACCAAAGTTACATATATGTGAAGGTGAGGTTTGCAGTGGCATTGAGATGTTGGTATAGCATAGCAAGTGTATGTGTTTGTGTGTAAAAAATAATGGAAGTGTGTGAGTTCATTTGAAAGTTCACTCTGCTGCACTGTGTGTTCATGTGAGCCCAGCATTCATGTGGCCATGCTGCATACTGTTGGCACTACACCTGCTCCACCTTTCTGTCCAGATGCCAACAAGGAGTAGCGAGTTGCTTAACCTCTGTATTTTGTGTTGGAGTTAACGCTGGATGTCCATTTAGCCACCTACAGTTTAAATGCTTATACACAGCCATGGGGCATGACACATTTAAGACAAGGATTGCCATTCTGTGCTAAGAAAGTACTTGTAGACCACTTGAGGGTCCGTGAGTGGGGTAAGAAGTGCAAGAAAACATGGAGCTGTCAGATGTAGTGCAAGAGCTGCCTGGGCTCTGGGGGGCTGAGGTGGAGTCAGGGATGGCACTGGCCTGGTGCTTCACTGAGCAGCTAGACCCAGCGGAGGAACTCGGGCCTCTCCAGTTTTGCTTGTATTATAAAACAGCATAGCATGCTGTCTATAAACTTGGATTTGGGAAGAGGAAGAGTAACCACAAGCTGCTATCATATGACATTCAAGAATTTGGATTCTCACCAGCCAGCTGCTCTAGGCAATCCGTTTGGACTCACCATCTGGTTGCATATATTTAAAAATCCTGTGGTTATACCTACTACCCTCTGTGCTCTCCATTCAATTCCTTGACTCGTCCTGACTGTGTCCTCTTTCTGTGGTGGCAGCCTTCTTCTTTTTTCCCTTTTTGATCAAAGTGGCAACTGAACTTGGGGGTTTTTTCATTAGAACGGTACTGCAATAAAAATATACTTATTCACTCTCACAGCCATTCTCTTCCTTCTCTGTTTCACTTTCTCTACTTCTCTCCTTATCTCTTGCTGCAGTAACCTTTACCTTCACCCTGTGGTCACCCTGTCAACCGCATCTTTTCCTCAAAATCCCAAACTCCTATGAAAGCTTAAGTGTCATGTTGTAAATTGTGGAGGTGCACATGAATAATGAGTAGTTTAGACAGCAGCACAGTATGGCCAGGTAGCAGGAAGGCAGGCAAAAGTGTCAGGTATTACAAATTCCCAAAAAGGTCCACAACACTGCTGAACTGAACAATCTGTTCTGAATTTCAGTTCTGAACAATCCTTGCAAAACTTACTTCCCTTTGACATCTTGTGTTTCTAGAAATACAAAACACAGGCACGTGCTATGATTAGATTTCTAATGTCACAAGACAGAACTATCTCATTTTCATTCCAAACCAGACATGATTTCTCAGCCCAGTGGAATGCCAAGTTGGAAACCTTCTTGCAAATTAACACCAGTGCACATTTCACCCTACTCTTCCTAAGCAACTATCTTTTTCATTTCCTGGTCACACAGTCCAGAAAAATGTTTTGCATGATGAAGATTTTGGTGGAGGCCAGGCTATTTTTACTCATTTTCTTGCCGTGTATCTACAGAAGTCCTGCTCACCAGCCCAGAGGGGCCAGATGTGTATTTCCAAGCACCTCAAGG